TCCCCCCATCCCCATCCTGAGGGTCCCCCCATCCCCATCCTGGGGGTGTCCCCGTCCCCATTCCGAGGGTCCCCCCGTTCCCATCCTGAGGGTCCCCCCCATCCCCATCCTGAGGATGTCCCCGTCCCCTTCCTGAGGGTCCCCCCGTTCCCATTCTGAGGGTCCCCCCGTCCCCATCCTGAAGGTGTCCCCGTCGCCATCCCGAGGGTCCCCCTGTCCTCATCCTGAGGGTCCCCCCATCCCCTTCCTGAGGGTCCCCCCATCCCCTTCCTGAGGGTCCCCCCGTCCCCATCCCGAGGGTCCCCCCATCCCAATCCCAAGGGTCTCCTGTCCCCATCCCGAGGGTCCCCCCCTCCCCATCCCTGCCCTGCAGCCGTTCTCTCTGTCCCCGTCCCCATCCCCAAAGTCTCTCTGTCCCCATCCCAGGGGTGTCTCTGCCCCATCCCGGGGGTCCCCCCTCCCCCCCCGCAGCCCCCCTCAGATCTCCTCCAGGAAGTCCACAGGGAACAGCCCCACTTTGCGGCCGGTGAAGACTTTGACGTAACCGTTCACCTCCTCCCCTTTCTGCACCACGATCTGCGGGYGAGACGGGGCCGGGTGAGACCCCCGGGATTGGGGGGCGTGGAGAGGGTCTGGGGGTCYCCTTGGGGTGATGGGGGCKGGGGTCCCGTCTCACCTGATCCTTTTTGAGCGTGATCTGCCCGATCTCGCGGTTGCCCACGAAGGAACGCGTCACTTTGTGCACCCGCTCGCCTGCCCGCACCCGGATGATGAAGTTGGGGGGGAAAAACCCGACTTTCTCACCGATCTTCCCCTAGAAAGAGGCAGTGGGGGAGTGCAAGGAGGGGTCAGAGTCGATCCAGGGGTCCCAAAAACCTTCCCTGCGCCAGGCTGGGGGGGTTGACAGCAGGTTTGGGTATCCCCCTTTGGAGTGCGACGCATTTTCCCAGCCGAGCTCCCTCTCTGTCCTTACCCGCCACCACTCCTCGTTGGAGTCATCGACCACCGTGATCTTCTCCCCCGGGCTGGAAGGGAAGGAAAGGCTCTGTGAGGGGAGGGCAGGACCCCCAATCACGGGAGACCTCGAGGAAAATTGCTTTTCCTGCAGAATCAGCTCCTCRARCCCCSTGTCTGGCAGGGGACACGCAGCCCKTGGGCTCAGGGAYGRACAKGTCCTATATGGAGCAGCTCAGCCTTGGGAAACCCACAGAACCCCATCAAGCAAAACCCCAAAAACCTTTAGGACCGAGCCCAAGACGTGGCTGGGAACTCACGGGAAGTCCAGGTCATCCTTCTCCAGGGCTTTGAAGCGATAAAGGGCCACGAAATAATGGGACTGCAGGAACGCTCCCGGCTGCGGCTTCTTGCTCTGGGGGACACAAACGGGGCTCGGAGTCCCACGGGCTGCAGGAAGCAGGGGGATCCCACAGCCTCTGCCCACGGCTTTGGGGTGCAGGGTAAGGGTGAGGGGTACCTTGTCATCTGTCGGGCTCTTCTCAGCCTTTTTGTCCCCTTCAGCGGCACCTGGGAACGGGAGGAGGGGGTCACACCTCCATTGCTGGTGCCTCCCGAGGGGGAGGGGATGCAGCGAGAGCYCCAGGGTGGGGACCTGAACCGGGGACCCTCTTTTCACATGGCAAACCCACCCTGGTGACCCCCTCAGCACAGCCAGGGGATCCCTCCCTGCCCCATGGGCTCAGCCCCTCAACGCTCACCACCCTCGGCTTTGCTCCCCACCGGCTTCGAGGCCTCCGGTTCCTCRTCCATCATCGCAGCCAAGGGCTGGAAGGCAGAGAGACCTCTCAGGGGGTGCAGCAGGGTGGGGCTGGAGGGTTAATGGGGTGCTGGCACCGCTCCTGCAGGAATTTGGGAACAGCCCGACCCCACACTCACGTTCTTCTTGTCGTCCTGCCCCTTCTTGCGCTCCTTGTTGGCCATGATGACGCCCGTCCGCAGCGTCTCGAACACGGGATCGCTTCTGTTTGCTGGGGAGGGCACGGGAATGGTGAGGAGGGGGTCAGGGATGGGACATGAGGGGCAGGAGCACCCTGGGGTGGGGACCGAGGGGACAAGGCACCCCAGAACGGGGACTCACCGAGCTGGTCCTTGACGCCGGCATACTGCTGGTCGCTGTAGAGKGGGGAGCTGTACGCCCGGCGGAACCCGGGGGGCTGGGAGGAGAGGGGAGAGGGGTCAGAGCATCATCCAA